TTCTCTTCTTCTCTCTGCCTGCTGCCTCCACACAACTCTCTGTCAGAAATGATTTCCACTTCTTCTTTTCCACACATCATTCTGTCTGATTGCCAAACACGTACTGATACATTCGGCCACTTTCTTTTTTTGCTGAAGCTGTTTTAGGCACTTCAACAAAATTTGACAAAATATTTAAAAAAGGAAAAAAAAGTAGCTCTGGCAATAAGTACCAACATCTCTGGGGGTATTTAGCCAAATCTCATGATCACAGACATAAACTGAGACAACTTTCAACTAAAAACCATATGCTAATGAGATCCTCCTACCAGTGCTGTTAGAAGAGTAAAGAAGTGGCTCGTCATCCATATGTAGGTTTTATGTTGTCTATGTGAAGAGTGCCCGCCTGGAAGTGAGGGGATGTGGATGTGTTTGCAGTCACACACACACACGCACGCACGCACGCACGCACGCACGCACGCACGCACGGCCTCCACTGCTCTGCCTCTCACAATAAGGTTACATAATTAAAGAGGCTCTGTTGAGCTGATAAAATGGAGAGAGGAGATTTTTTTAAATATCTGTGAAATGGAAATGAAACCTGTTTGTGTTATATAACCGGCAGAACAGCTTCTGCTGTAATTCTCCCTCTTCCCCATGAGCTAATTCATTTCTCAACCTCCTTTTCCTCCAATACTTTTAATTCATCGCCTCCTTTCTGTGCTACATGAGTTTCTTTTTTTTTTTTTTTTCTGTTTTCCAAAATGATCCCCGTTTGTTTTGTGTGTTTACTCGTCCAGGTCACTGTCCGTAACTCACTTTCCTCTAACAGAGCATGTCTGGACTGATAGATGTGATTGATATGAATGAATCTTGCATTTTCCAGTTTTTTTTTTTTAGATAAATTAGAGGCCTGAGATGAGTTTTGAGAAACGTACCTCATTTGCCTCGCCTTTCCAAGGTGTTTTGTAACTAAGTGCTACCTATATTTTATCTGTTTAAACTTCCTGAACATGTTATAATCGATACATTGTTTGAAATAACTGTGGAAGAACTTAAAACTTGTGGACGGTGAACATTATCGGGCCGGCAAACAGGTTCCTTATGAGACATCAGCAGCACCTGGCTCCTGTCTTTTTCAGTTTGCCCCCTCATCTTCTCTTGATCTTCCTCCTTTTCCTGCTTCATCTTCCTCTTTTGTCTCCAGATCAAGCCAGACTCAGCAGCGACTCATCCCATTTAACGTGTGCGCACATGCACCCGCGTGCACACGTGGCGTCATTCACCCCAGCAGTTTTTCTTTTGCTCTCCCTGGTGGTGCTCCTCTCCACCTCTCTCCTCTCCCTTTTCTCCTCCCTCCTTCTGGAGAGCTCCAACCTGCACTTACACATGGATGCGAGCCATGTGTCTACATGTGTGTTTGTGCTTGTGCCGGAGTGTGTGTGCGCTATGCAGCAGAGCACTGCTTAAAGCATCAGCCAGCACAAGGGAAGTGTGCGCTCAAGCAAAACAATGGCATTCTGGGTAAAAATAGCCCTTCACTCTGTTGGAGGTATAAAAAAAAATAGGAGGCTGAGAGTGACAAACAGGGAGATGGAAGGGAGGGGAAGATTGGAGTCTAATGACTGTGTGCCGAAAAGAGAAATGAGATAAACTGTAGATGAAAATGTGCCTAAACTGAACGGAAACACGAGTTACTCAGACAGGAATCAGCCTAATAGGAGACTAGTGCTGTTGAAAGACGTTTCCATAGCAACTGGTCTGGTGGCTATAAATGTACACAACGCACATGTAATAGTGTCAGACAATATTAAAGTTAATGGAGATCTGTTGACAGTATAAATATATATTTTTTTATTATATTTTGGTGTTTGGATTTTTTTAAGTGGCTGACTTTATTGAAAAGTTTCTCTACTTCCCCTATTTTTCAGTTTGATAAAGATCTTTTTCTGCTGGTGTTGGTCAGTTATCTTTTTCACTGATACTATAAAAAAAAAAGTTTTCAAAACATCAGCCAATAATTTTACAACATGCTTTTGGGAAAGATGCGGCAACATGTGACGTTTTTATTATTTGGAACATTTAGATACCAAAATAATTTCTGGTTGCTGAATCCAATAAAATGTGATTTTTTTATTATTAAAGAAAGTCAAAAACTGACTGATGACATCACATAGTGACACGTACTGGATTTATCTTTGAGCGATATTGTCTCTGTTGTCATCATCTGTTGGTCTTTGTGCTTTAGTTGTCACATTGTCTTTATTTCAGTCATTTTAACTTTGTTACTGACACTGTCCTATGCATTGTTTACTGTTTGTTCTGTGTTTTATGGTTCCTTACTTTCACTTTTCTTTGTGTATTTGTTTTAATTTTGGTTTAGGAAGACGGTTTTGTGTCTATCCATTTGTGTTAATTAGTCATATTCCTTCTGCTCCTCTGATCACGTTCCCATGTCGGTCAATCACCTCCCTAGCAGTTAAACGCCAGGCAATTTCTTTACATCCTTGTCATCATTGTTCATTTCCACGGTTCTGGTTTTACTGTACTCCTGTTTCCGTTGCTTGATTTTTCCGGTCAGTGCTTCTCCAGGCCTGTTTCTGGCTTTGGAACGGTGTTCTTTCTACATTTACTCTAATGGTTTCACTGTGTTGAACAGATTCCTACAAAAGAGACAGATTGTGAGCCAGTATAAATCCTCTAAAAGAAAATAACAGAACAGAAATCTAGCAGCACAAAAAGCATTTAAAAGGAGAGAATAAAGTATGGCAGTAGCCAACAAATGCGAGAGGAGAGGTAGATCCCGAATTAACGACACGAAGCCACTAAATGAAAAGAAAGTAGCAGCTTGACATGTGGAGCGTTGTTGACATTGTTTGTGCCATGTAGGTTAAGTGGACACCACTGGTGCACTCTGCAGGATATTTCTTGCTCACAAACAGGTATATGTGTCGTTATCTGCTGGCTTCAAAACAAAAACAACAGTTGCAAAAAACAAACAAAAAAAGGCGGCAGTAGTTTGAGAAGCCACTGGACAGATCGGCACTGGACATACACACTCGCGCGTAATCATATTTTTGCAGTTTATTAACAAGAGTTACTACTAGTTTTAAGTGTTTTGTGGTTTTTTTGTATCTTAAATAAGTTTGATGGAAAGTTATTAAAAGAATAATGACAGTTTTTTTTTCAACCATGCTCCCAAATGTACACATTTCTGATACTTTATTCTTATTGTTTATGTGTCATAAATAGATTTTCCAGCCAGTTCACTTCTTTTTGATCGTTTTCCATTAATTTAATGCGTCGCTGAACAATAAAAATCATAGAATGTAATCACTACTTTGGCTGTCTCCTCATAATTAGTGATATTGCACAGGCAAAACCATCACTTATCAAAGGTGGGCTCTAAAGGATTGGGAGTCTGAAAATGGCTCCTAATCAGAGATGAGCACTCGAAAGGATTCGGTGAGAGACCGAGGTAAAGGAGGCGCGGGAGGACGCAGAGCCGTTTAGAAAAGCCTGAGCATCAGAGGGGAGTTACAGAAAGAGCAGGTGGAAAACAGCAGCGATGGTAGATAACTGTTGAAGAGAGAGTGCTGCATCTATCAATTATTCATTACGTCGGTAATACAGCCTCTGTCTTGCCCCAAATAACATTAGCTGTCCTGGATAGGACAGCTAATGTTAGAGACAGAGAATAAACAGATGGTGCTAGTGGGGGGGAGAGGGGGTGAGAAGACATTGGAGACACTGAAAAGAAAGTTTAACCAAGATGAACAGATAGTTATTTGTTTTTTTATGCAAAACTACAACTAAACCTGACAGACTGTAACTAAATATGTTAGGTTGAAATGCATAAGGTGCATACTGCAAGAGTCAAATGAGGGCAGGAAATCATAAGGAATGAGTTTTTCTTACAAATTTTCAGTCTGAAAGTTTTATTTGTGTGTCTGACATTTGTTGTTCACATGTTCAAAATAAAGATTTCATTCATTCATTCATGTGTATGAATTTACATGGCAACCAGACGGATGCGTAATACAAATTTTAATCAATAGTGAAAAAAATTATGATGTGTTTATATATATATATATATATATATATATATATATATATATATATATATATATTTTTTTTTTTTTTTTTTTTTTTAAAATTTTTAAAAACAACATTTCCTCTAATTGCAGCAGTTTAGCTTTAAGCCCAGCCAACTATCTACTGCATCTTTTATTTGAGCATGTCATTTCAGACAAGCGATGAGAATCACGACCGAAGACTGCTAAATGTTTAGTTCTGCGTTTACTTCGAAGTCATTTCTGCTCTTTCTGTGTCAGTTTGATGCAGCTTCCTAACATTTAGCAGTCTGTGAAGTGGTGTGAGTAAAAGCTAATGGGATGAAAATAGTGTGTAGCTGTCAGAGTGGCTTGGCCTTTTGGAAACTTGTGTCAGATTAGTTCAGCCTGCCATCGTTCTGACAGCTCTGTTTTCAAATGAGATCTTCACAGAAACCAGTCTGAGTGCAGTGCGTGTTAGTGGAAAAGATACCAAAAAATAATAATAATAATAAGTGAAGAAGACTAATCTAAGTGTAAAATGTTTTAATTTTGGCAAATTACATAAGTTTTATTTTCGGAAAGAGTGTGTGTAAATATTTATTCAACTCCTTTTTTGCACCTTGTAACCAATTTCCTAATATTTCTAATGATTATGTGAAGAGATCATGTCTGACCAATCATGGTGGGCTTCCTGGACAAAGTCCAGCCCTGAAACTATTTAACACTGTCTAAAATATTTTCTTCTTATGATGTTTTTATCTATCAAAGAGTGAATACTGTACACATCGCTATGAGGTAAAAACCTACTATAAAGTCATTAACACTGACATTAAACTGGGTCACAGTTTGATCAAATGCTTGGTCAAAACTACAAAACCCTCATCTGTATGTGTGCGTATCTATTTCATGATTTAGAAATAAAAACTAATTACTTGCCTTTTGTTTTCTATTCTGTGTGTCCTTCAGAAAAAAGAGTGGTTATGTCTTAACTGCCAGACCCAGCGGCTGTTGTCTGGAGGCGGCCTGGATGAGCCTCCTCTTCCTGTTCCCCATGCCTCCCCGAAGCACCAACCAATGGGCTCACCTCGTCACCAGACGCCGACCAGTCAGCAAAGCCCTGTCCACAAGTCGACCACTCAGCAAGGACCCAAACCGGTCCAGCCGCAGGGACAAAAATCCCAGATGGGAACAGGCGTCGGTGGACCTACTGGTCCCACGCCCGCCAAACAGCCCACCGATACCAAGACCACAACGCCAGCCACAGCACCAGTGCCAACCACCGAGGCCCAGAAACCCACGAAACCAACAGAGGAGAAGCCTAAGACGGAGCCTGAGAACCAAACTGCCAAAGAGACCAAACCTTCACAGAAGAAAGGGGAGCAGATCACTCCAGTAAAGGAAATTAAGAAGTCTAGGCACTATGACGTAAGTTCGGCGTTCTTTGTTCTTTTTTTCCTTTGTTTAAAAAAAGGTTTGAATACTGAAGTACTGGAGGAAGAAACAGTAACGTGAGACCATGCTGATATAGTCAGCGTGACAGGATACATGTCATATATACACTACATATCTGGTCCAACTTTAGAAAAAAGACTTGACTAAATTACACCAGCTTCTGAGTTATAAAAAGAGTCCCCTGAAAATGCAGGTAATTTTTGTTAAGGGTTTAAACCTCACAATAGTGTATTTTGGAATATACATTTAAGTGAACTTATTTTATACATAAAAAAAATATATTTTTTAAAGTTTTTCTGGCATCATGAAAATAAAAAATAAAAAGCTTCTCTGCCTTGGCTTTATCTCGGCCATTATTCTCTCATGAATATTTGTCATTTTCCTTTTTGTTTCTCTCTGTTATGAATTCATTTAAGCTCATTATGAAATGTCAGAGCCCTCCAAAAGATGTTCAGCCTTGTTCTCCTATTGAGATGAAATGAAATGAAATGAAAAACAAAGTTTCCTCACAGTTTGTTATTAGCGGGTATAGCTGTAGAGCGAATGTTTTGTTAGGTTTTCTTTCTCTTGGTCATGAAGGTTATGATTATGGTAAAAAGTAAGATGATCCAGTATTTAAAGATGTACTGAAAACATGAAAATACTAACAGCCTTATAGGTCTCTAACTATCAGATTAACATGCATATATATGCATTTCTTTAGAAAAGAACTAAATGATTTACAGCAATTTTTGTCAAGTAAAGTTTTTTTTTTCTCATTGTGACAATTTCTTGTGTTATTTGGGTGTCTGGTTAGAAAAAGAAAGAAACTTTCCTGGCAAAGAAATTCTCCTGACCTGTATAATGTGTTCTATAGGCTTGTAGAAAAACCACATTTACTTTTTTTTAGCTTATTAAAGGTGGAAAAAGGCAATCAAATATTTTTATTTCATTCTCATTTTTACAAAATAAGTACCTGACATTTTAACAAGGGTGACTAAAGCCTTTTTGTAGCCATAGAAATCCACACAAAATTTGACCTTTCAGTGGTTTTGTGTTATTCATTTTGAGCTGTATGTCCAAAAAGGTGTAAAGACTTAAAACATGTATTTTAACTGACTGTGTGATGTGAATATGTACTAAAGCAAAAATAACTACCATCCCTCATGTAATTTTATATCAACCTCATTTGCATAATCTTTTGTTGTTTTTTCACATACCAAATAAAATATCTTTCAAACGTTCATTCATTACCTATTTTAGATTTTATAAATGGAAAAAAGTACATATCTGAAAACAATTGAGAGAGCAAACCTCCAGTTTTTATACCATACATAAGGCATTTAGCGCCCGTCGTGTAGAATATAAAAAAAACCTGTGGGCCCTCTTGCCTTTTCTCTTTACAGCTCTATTATTGTGCATATTCATTCATTTTAGAACATTTTTAAATCCAAATAGGCTCATACAATTAATCAAAATTACTCTATTTTGATAAGTCGCTGTTTGGTTGTGCCAAATGTCCATATATGTGTCATAAAGAGCTTGGTAAAAGATGAGTGGAAGCTCACAGAAGGCTTTAATTTTATTTTCTAGTTGTGGGGTTCAGAGGTGCTTCCATTTGCAAATTATTTAGGAAATCTGAATACCAGAATGTTGTCATCATATTTTAAGACTTATTGTTAATATTCAGTTGATAGAGACTGAATGTGGACCTAATACACTATCATAATTTGATTAGTTTAGTCTTCTAGACATTGCAATAAATACGCTTTTTGTGCAAAACGTGTTTTGTTTTTGTTTGTTTTTTTGCCATACTCCAAAAACTAAGCTTATTTTACATCTAAAAACAGATTTCAATTATATATATATAAAAAAATGTCAACAAAATTATCAAATTTCTATTACTTTTGACCCAAACCATATAGCCAAATTTCACCACGCCTAATGCGATCTTTCTTTGTTTCTGTTCTCTGTAGGACACAAAAAACAACAGCACCCATGACTTGTCACGCAGCCCTCAGAGTCTCAGTGACACTGGCTACTCCTCTGATGGGATCTCCAGCTCACACAGTGAAATTACAGGTCTAATCCAAGAGGAGGAAATGAAGCTGAGTGAGAGGGGAATCAGTGGGCGAGGCTCTCCTCCAAGCCCCTCTGAAATCACCAAGCTGGAGAGCTCGATGAGGCCACTGCTGGAGAAAAGCCTCTCTGAGGAAAAGCCGGACAGAAGGGGAAGAAAGCACAGGGACAGAGACTTGGATGACAGAGGAAAGCATCGACCACGTTCCCTTTCAATTCCTCCAGATGCATATGATTCTGATGAGGAATTAGAGGATATACTGGAGGAAGAGGAAGATGGCGGGGACTGGGAGAGTAAACGGAAAGAAGGAAAGGAAGAGAGAAAAGAAAAGAAGAAGGAAAAGGAAAAAGAGGCTGATCCAACAGAGATGACTGACGAGGAGTTCATGAGGAGGCAAATAATGGAGATGAGCGCTGACGAGGACAACGAGGAGGAGGAGGAAGAGGAAATGGAGGAAGACGAAGATGAGGAAGATGAAGGTTACGGCTACCAGAAACCGAAGAAAAGCCACCACAAGCACATCATTTCTGACTCAGGGAAAGAAAAGAGACGGCTTCAGCACCACTCGAGTAGTTTTGAGGAAGAAACCAAGACCTCCGCCGATGTCTACAAGGGTTCTGTGGAGGAGGGGGAGGAAGATGTGATGGCATCCCAAGGGGGGCTGAGGCGCTTCAAAACCATTGAACTCAACAACACCAACAGCTACAGCCGAGATATGGAGCTGAGCAATGAAAATGATCTAAACCTGGACCGGGAGCCAGAGCTGGAAATGGAGAGCTTAACCGGATCTCCAGAGGAGCGTTCTAGGGGCGACTATTCTTCAACTTTACCTCCAACTTCATCCTCATATGGTTCAGGACAGTCTCCAACATCCATCTCATCAATGGAGGAAGACAGTGACAGTAGCCCAAGCAGGAGGCAAAGACTGGAGGAGGCCAAGCAGCAGAGGAAAGCACGCCACCGGTCTCACGGCCCCCTGCTTCCGACCATTGAAGACTCCTCAGAAGAGGATGAACTCAGAGAGGAAGAGGAGCTTCTGAGAGAGCAGGAGAAGATGAGAGAGGTAGAACAACAGAGAATAAGAAGCACAGCACGGAAAACCAAAAGGGATAAGGAGGAGCTGAGGGCCCAAAGACGCCGAGAAAGATCCAAAACACCACCTAGTAATTTGTCACCAATTGAAGACGCTTCCCCTACGGAGGAGCTAAGACAAGCAGCAGAGATGGAAGAGCTTCATCGGTCCTCTGCTTCTGAATATTCCCCCCAAAGTCTGGACTCTGAGGCTGAGGGGTACGAGTCCAAAATCTACAAGTCAGGCAGTGAGTACAATCTGCCTACTTTTATGTCTCTCTATTCGCCTATAGAGAAATCTTCCTCAACTACGACGACCACTGCTCCATCAACAACCTCCAAACCTCTGAAGAGTGCTGAGGAAGTTTATGAGGAAATGATGAGAAAAGCAGAGATGCTGCAAAAACAAGAAAAGCTACAGCAGCAGCAACAACAACGACATGGGCAGTACTATGAGGAGGACATTAATGGACAAAACTACGACGACGACTATGACTATGAACAAGATCAAACGGGATATGACAACGAAGCGGCGGAAATAGAAAACGACATTTATGAGGAAATCCGACAAACATCTCAGAACATCACTAAGATGCAACAGGCCACAAATGAGCAAGTCGAGATTGAAATTGAGAGTTCTTTTGCAGATAAGCAGCTGCTGGACACAGGCTCAGCCTTTGCTAAACTACTAGAGCAAAGCAATGCTCTGTTAACTCCGGGGACAAGTCCTACCCAGGTCTCAGCTCCTGTCTCCTTTGCTGAGAGTGGAGGTCGAATACCAGACGTGAGAGTAAGCCAGCACTTCACCGCAAAGGATGGGCACAAGGACAGAATTAAAAGCCAAGCAGGAAAGAATGGCATAACTCCAACAGTGGCTGCTACCACCATTGCAGCTTATGGGGTTTATGCCAGAGACGCAGTAACAATTTCCCAAACAGGATCAAGCCACACTATGACATCAACCCAATCTGATACCTCACGCAGACACACAGGGACTCTTGCCACATCCTCAGCTACAGTCTCAAGTGTATGTAGCAAGATTGCAGAGATTACCCAGGCCTATAGTCAAAGAGAAGTAATCACCAGAAGGATTGGGGAGACAAGAGGTGTTCAAGTGCGGGACAGCTCGACATCATCTGCTGAGAGGATTATTGAACCACGCTCTCCTAAGTATACTACCTATTACAGGAGCACGAGTCCTCCTCTCTCTCCATCACCACCGCCACCACAAAGTCCTATTCGCTCTCCTTCCAGAAGGTCTACTGCTGAGTTCTCCACACAGACCTTCAACTCAGCCCTGCGAATGGAGCCAGCTGGTTCTGGGCCCACATCACCTGTGATAGCTCAGGGAACCCAAACAGCACATCGATCAATTTCCCCAAGGCTATATCGACAACAGTCTTCCCAGGAGGCTCCATACTCCCCACCTCCAGGTCCAACTAGACCAATGACAGTGAACACGGCAACTTCTCCATTGTCCTCACCCACTCGATTTAGCCGTCAGTCAACATTTGATAGCTACTCTCCATGCGGCAGCCCCCCGGACACACCACCTTATCAACAGTCACCGACACACAGCTTCTATAGAGCGCAAAGAGTGGAGAAGGTGAATGTAGGGACAAGCATGGTCACTACTGCTGGTTTATACACCAGAGGGTCTGTGTCCATGGATAATATCTCCCTCTGCCGAATATCTACAGTCCCGGGAACCTCAAGGGTTGAGCAGGGCCATATGATCCAAGGTGGTAGTGTTGTAGATCTAAGAACTGCAACCCACTCAGCTCCCATTATTATGACTGATCAGGGAATGGACCTTACTTCCTTAGCTACAGAAAGCAGGAAATACCACGGTGGACCAGAAGGTTCCAGGCATTCAACAATCATACAACCACTGATTATGAATTTGAACACACAAGAGACCACCACACCTACCACTGTGAGTGTCACTGTGGCTGCTTCTATGTTTATGACCCAGCTAAAACATCCAGTGGTTTATGGTGATCCCCATCAAAACCGAATAGATCTAGGTCAGGGCATGGGCTCAGCGGTGTGTCTTTCTCAGAACAAATCACCAATTTCTCCTCCAACTGACCCTTCCATTCCAAAAATTGATGCAAAATTGGAAGATCTCAGCATACAACAAAGAGAATTGCAAAAACAACAAGAGAAGCTGCAGAAACAACAAGAGCTCCTTGAGCAACAGCTACAACAGCACCATCAGCTGCAGCAGCACCAACAACAGGCATCTGTTCTAGCCAAGTATAACCTCACAGGCCAGGTCTCACCTTTAGCTAAAAAAAATTTATTAGTCAGCCAGACTAGTACTGCATCTACAGTGGTCAGTGCTGTTTCACCAGTCATCAATCCTGAGCTTTACGGCACTGGTCCTGTTGAGCTGAAAGGGAAGCCCAGCCCACCTGGTTTGATGCAGGGGGGTAAATCACCACATAGTATGGTTGTACAAATGGATGGAGGGCCCGAGCCAGTAAGGGCATTGACTCAACTTGTGAAGGTAGAAGAAGGACAGGATGCAGTGGATTTGACAGGAGGCCAAATAAAACCTGACCAACCAGCTTGTTGTGATGTAGTTTACAGACTGCCATTTGGTGGAAGTTGTGTTGGTGTCTCTGAGAAAGAGGGCATAAGGCCACCGTCTGCCCCACCTCTTACAGATGAATCAGATCAAGAAAGACAACCTGGAAGGTACCATGAGTACCCAATGGACACACGTAAGGCTTACACGTTACCTTTTCCTGGTAGGCTTCAGCCTTCAATGTCTGATACCAACCTTGCTGATGCCGGCTTACAGTCATACCACTCTAAATATGAACCACACCTCCAACAAGCTGGTGAACTTGTCATGGACTTAACTGCTATGAAACAGAGCTATGGAGGATATATGGGCATGCAGTACGGTTCCTACACAGATTTACGTCATGGAGGAGACATTTCAGCACAAACGTTGCCGATAAGACGATATAATTCCTTGTCTAACATCAGTTCAGATTATGGTTATTCTGCTCGTGATATTGCAAGCTTCCAAGAAGCTAACTTGGCTCAGTACAGTGCTACAACTGCAAGGGAGATAAGTCGAATGTGTGCTGCACTTAATTCTATGGACCGATATGGAAGCAACCCAGACTTGCTGCAGTATGGCAGCTTAGGCAGAGGTACTGGACCAGGTGCCTCCAGACTTGCAGCAGGCATTGGCATGAGGCAAAGTCTGATCTTTGGATTAGATGGAAAGCCTATGTCTCAAAATCAAGCTCTGACGAATCTTATCAATGCCAGGCAGGCTAGTCTGAGGGCCATGTACCCTGCTGCCATTAGGTCATCTGACGGAATGATTTACTCCACCATTCAGACCCCAATAGCTTCAACACTTCCCATCACCACCCAACCTGCATCTGTACTTCGACCTCTACTGAGAGGGGTCTATAGGCCATACGCTTCTCCCAACATGACACCAGTGCCACTGGCCAGTCTCACCAGATTACCCATAAGCCCAAGAATGCCCTTATCTGGACAAGTACCACTTCGTTATCCAGCGCCAGGTCTGCTTCAGACAACTTCAGCCATTGCCTCTACCACTGTTGCTGCATCAACTTCAGCCCTTGTGCCCATGTCTTTGACAACCGCAAGCTCAACAGCCCTGGAGGAACCTGTTTACCTTGGTAAAGGTGCCAAAGTGACATCAGCAGAGGTCACTTCAGCACAAGGAGTGCTTGTCACTTTGACCGAACCGCAGCAGCAACCAATAAACCTGTCCCAGACACATCTGAACACCCAACAACAGAAACAAGTGACAACGGCTCAGCAGCCACAGCCTCCTCCTGCAGCTCACGTATACCCACCCTCAAGTCCAGCAGTAACCCAAGGCTACACCCAGCCTGCTGCAGGCCCATCGGTCCCCACCACTGGCTTGCCCGTTCCATGTGGTCTCCCTCCTTTCCCTCCACCTGGTGCAATACATAAAGAGGGTGAAACTGAGGCAGAGAGGCTTCACCGACAACAGGAGCAGCTTCTGCAGATGGAGAGGGAGCGCGTAGAGTTAGAGAAACTTCGTCAGCTGCGACTGCAAGAAGAGCTTGAGCGCGAAAGAATGGAGCTGAAGTTTCACAGGGAGAAGGAGCAAATTCTGGTGCAGAGGGAGTTACAAGAGCTGCAGAACATCAAGGAACAGGTATAGGGAAAATCAGGAGTTATGTAGTGGTGTTGATGTCTTTTTTTTTTGTTATTTTCCTGATTTGAATGTCTTATAATTTTTCAAGTGGTTTTCATAAGTGAAGATTCTGCTATTTCACATCAGTAATTGATTAACCAGCAATTTTGTGTATCATTTAAAGGCAGCATGTTTCTAAGTTGACATTTTTAATTATCTTTCAAAAGATTTTTTTTTGTATTCAAAGGAATATTAAGTAGTCCTTCAAGTTGTTGATTAGACACTGATATAAGAAAACAAAAACAATTCCTTGTGCAATAACTCTTGATTTATTGTGAGTCAGAAATTATCCAGCCTGGATTACTACGTGACAATTGTATGTTTTGCATGCTGTTCTTTGTTATTTGAATCCAGTTACCTCGTGTTACCCCGGTGTCTACGCCTGCTGATCCTTTGGTACATACGATTCATATGACGTGGTGCTTTTACACCTTAGGAAGAACAACAATAATAACAGTGGAATTGATCTAAATAGAGATTGCAGAGTTTTTTCTGCGTTGGCTGTTGAAAGATTAAATTATTTTCCTGGACCAGTATGTAAAATTACTTTAATGATGAAAATACTCTATTTTTACTCTATATTTTTGAATGCAAGCTCAACTTAGACCCCTATGTTTCGAAGCATGTTTCTTAAAATGTGAAAATTGTTTAAGAAGATCTCTGTTCCTCTTGGCTCACAGTCAGTAAAACGATAGTGAGTTACACTGTGGAAATGGGATTCCGCCTATGTGTCCGTTGTATGTATATGTCTATCAGATACTGATGAGCCTGAACTCCTGTCACATTTTTAATTTGTTCTGAGTTAAGTAAGTTAACATTTAAGAGCATATTTAAATTAATTCCTAATTTCATTTAATAAAATGTTAAATATGTTTTTCAAAATAACAACAAAGAGCTAACATAAGCATTTTCTTCTTTTTGTTAGAACAAGCAGTTGAAACTCTTTCAAGTTAACTCTGTAAAACAGGTGAAGCCCCCCTAATGAGACTGAGAATGAACTATAAAATGAATGTTTGATTAATATGCATTTCATAACATACGATAGGAACAAAAGCCTAACCCCTTCTCCCGCACCAATCATTTGAGCTGCACAGAAAATGCTTCAGATATTTAATATGAGCATTGTTACAAAACTGGTAAGAATTACCAGTACATGCTGCACTTTGTTTCAGTTGCGCTTCAGTTCTCTGACTAACGTGGAACCATTCTTTAGCTAATCCATCAGCATAAGAGCTTCATGTCACATTTGCTTTTGAGAATCTTGCTTTGCATTTTTGAAAACCAGTGATCTTAATTACAACTAAATCATGGCCTTTTGTATCTCTCTTTTGTTTGTCTATCTATTCTCATTGTTACCACCTCACCATCTTTTATTTTATCTTTTGTTTCGTAACTTTTTGGTCTCCTTTTGGTTACTGTTCTTCAAACGTGTCCATGTTTTATCTGTATGTGTGTTTAGGTGTTACAGCAGCAGCAGCAAGAGCGCGAGAAACAACTCGTTCTCCAACGAGAGCAGTTGGCCCAGCAGAAATCCCAGCTCGACCAGATACAATCTTTGCAGCAGCAGCTCCAGCAACAACTACAAGAGCAGAAGCGGCTGAAAACTGCTGCTCAGACCATGCAGGTGAGGAATTTGTACAACTTTGATAGACGGTTTTAAACCTTCAGGGTGCATTCGCACCAGCCCTGATTAGTCCGCACTAATAAAACAATAGTTCGATTGCCAAGAAAGGCTGGTTAATTTAGGAAAGTTTGAATATGCAATGAAACTCTAATGTGGCCCAATAAAGGCAAACTCTTGCCTACCTATAGACGTAGGCTTTGGTTCGGTTGAAGTAAACTGGTGCAGTTTAAGTGCATTTATGAATGCAAGAGGACTGGAGGCTGCTCCAAAAGCCGTAGCACTAGCAGGAGAAACGGCTAGTGGTCTTTTTGACAAGGACAATTGAGAAATCCTACAACAGTTCAAATCTGATGTGACTCAATTTTTGTTTACATTTTGTGAAGGATGAAGTTGCACTCAATCTTCTTCAGAGGTTTTTGTGTTGTTTCCTTCAATGGTTCTTGGTGCGTATGGCATTTCTCACCAGTATTTGTGACAACAGACACTGATAAATTGTCTCTCCATCTTTGCTCATTCCAAATGTGTTCTGCCAAGTTGAGGTCAAAAAGGTTGGTGAAATTATTCCATGTCTTTATGGACCACTGGTACACAGTCATGTTGATACAGGAAAGGGTCATTCCAAAACTGGTCCCATAAATTTGGAGCCATAAAGTTGTTCAAAATGTCTTGGTATACTAAAGTATTAAGAATTCCTTCTTCTAAAAACTAAGAGGCTGAGGCAAAATTTGACCTCACTCTTTGACACAAAATGGTAGAGTTGCTGTCACTCTGTATCGCCACCCTTTTGCTGTAAGACTACTAACACTTGTACCTGGTGACTGGAGATAATGCACTGGTAGCGTCCTACCATGGTAACTCTAACCCTGAGAGCAACCTATGCTTTCACAAATGTTTGTTTTTCAAGGTGCTGTTATGATAGAAGTGGTAGACACACCTAAATTCAGTGATTTGAAGGAAATATCCAACACTTTTTTACAATATGGTGTACGGTATATCAGATGTTATTAATTCTGACATTGTGAATGACTGAGAACTGTACTTTGTCTTTATAAATCTTATCCTGTAACTTTATGAATTATATTCTATTTCAGTATTTCCCTGTTGGTCATAGATATTCAGAGCTGAACTTCTTAATTTGGCTCTATTTTTGCAAGTGTCCTCTTCAGCATTGCTTTCATTTCTTTACATATTGTTAGCAAACTGCGTTAATTTTTCGGAATCTTTTTATGAGAAAACGAAACGATCATTATTCGACAGGTTCGTTTTCAAAAACTTTACAGTCACAGGTGATTGTTGGTAGTTCTAATGAATATGCTTTTGCCAACAGCTGGATATGACCGGACAGCCATTGCATCCCTACATAGACTCTCAGATGAGCTCGCGCTCTCTCCCTAACTCTTCCTCAGAGATATGTTTGAGGAATCAGGATGAACAGCTGGAAGCCAGAGCTGGTATGAGGAAACATAGCTCCATGAGCAGGCTGACCCGAGACACCTCTGATGGAGATGGTGTGATTTTCTATGGCTCCCCTCGCAGAATTGTGGATAGTTGTGTACAGACTGATGATGAAGATGGAGAAGAGAGGTAACAATATATTTTTCTTTTTTTTTTTGAAGTGAGTAATGGGATACCCTCCTTGGCTATGAGTATGTAGGTGGTATGGCATAAGAATGACTGTCTGTGGATAGCACAGTAAGTGCTTCCCACATCCCAATCCTCACTATGTACCAGCAAAGAAAATTTTATTTTGTTTACAAGCAAAAACCTCTAAATGTATAATAGTTGTATCTAACATAAATATCTACACAAGCCTTAATATCTACAGATTGTTTTCTTCACGCCCTGTTCTGCCTTTTCCCTGAACCACCAGGTACATGATGCGTCATCGTACCAGGAGGCGTGGTCGGAGCGTTGACTGCTCCGTCCAGACGGATGACGATGAGGATAAGGCTGAAACGGAGCATCCAGTTCGCCGCAGACGCTCCCGGTTTTCCCGCCATGCCGAGTCCACAGCAGCTGGCACCAGCACTGCCTCGACAACCACCTCGACAACAGACACCAAAGCTGACACATCCAAGATAGTTTCCTCCAGCATCGCTGTCCAGACCATCAGGGAGGTGTCCTGTCAGACAGAAGCTGAGCACCTAGGAAGAGTCTCCCCGGCAATCCATGTGACATTACCAGACCCTAATAAAGTAGAGATCGTACACTACATTTCTGGACCAGAGCGCACACAAAAAGGACAATCTCTTGCCTGCCAGACTGACTCAGAAGGGCAGTCGCAGGGCGTTGTAGCTCCACAGCTAACAGTGCCGACTACAGTCAGTCCATATTCTTCCTCTGCCGGTACCGGAACAGGGCCGTCCAGTTCGGCTGACCTTCACACCCAACAGCGCCAGCAGCAACACGTTGCAGCGAATGCAGCAAAATTTGAGCGACGTCGTCCTGACCCATTAGATATTAACTATCAGCCTCACAACCACCTTCACAATGAGTCCATCTCCAGCCTCATCCGGCAGCAACAAACCACACCGAAATCTCCACAGGTCCTCTACTCTCCTGTGTCGCCAGTGTCCCCACACCGCCTGCTGGAGACCTCCCTGTCAAGCGAGAGACTGAACAAGGCCCACGTCACACCTCAGCAGAAGTCTTACACAGCCGAATCCCCCCAGCGACACCCATCTGTGCCCCGACCCATCAAGAGCACCCATAGGTCCATGTCGGACCCCAAGTCCCTCAGCCCAACCACAGATGAGCACACCAAGGCCAGGCTGTCCCTGTATCAACAACAAGCACTCCAGAGCCAGGTAAAGTCACTGAAGCTGAGCCGATGCTCCAAAAAGCTATTAAAAAGTGGTGAAAGCAGTTGTAGGGGCTGTATTTACTCTATTCTAAGAGTTTTCTAAAATAATTTCCTTCACATTGTTTAGGAACAAGATCTTTGCTGTACACAAAAGCTTTTCAAGTACTCCTTTACAGTATTATAGAACTGGCCTTATCATATACTGATTTTGAAAGCTATTACAATAGGGAAATTACAGCTGTGTAAAAGAGGTAGCAGCAAGTCCTCAAAATGTACTTATTGATGAAATTTCTTAACCTAATTTCTTTCTGTTTGTTCGTTATACGACGTCACGCCAGTTCCCAAAGTTTCAGGTTTAGTTCTCAGGACCCCCCTTTGGGTCCTCTGTAGAATTAAACAAAACAACAAAAAACAAAAGTAAAGTATATTTATGCCATCCAGGGTATCGTTTTACCCCTGTTGAACTGACTTATTAGAAATTCTTGTGTATTGAGAAAATTGTCAGATTCTGGGTGTCTTCTACTTATTTTATAGGTAAGAAGCTGAAATGTTTGGGAACGACTGGAATGGAATGGCTAGGGTTTTAACATACCCCTTTCTTGGTGATTCCATTAAATAACTCATGTGAGTGTTATCACCACATGAGTCTTGTTTCAATTGAAAGTACAGTATATTTATTAAGCTGAGCTTGTGCTTAAAGTATTAGTTTATAGTCAAAATTTAAATGTGTCACAATCTTCTGAGTATGTTTTCTCTAATCTTTTGGGTTTCTCTCAAATGTATCTACTATATTAACTTGTAAAGGGAAATCCACCACTATATATATTTTTAGGTGCTTTATCCATGCATTCCCTACAAATAAATTCAGATGTTTCAAAATGAATCATTAATTGTTAATGATGTCCTGACATTTTATTGACGATACTTTTTTAGGCCAAACAAAAACGTCTAAATCATGTTTGACTACAACAGTGACATAAAAACCTTTAAAATTTCATACATTTTTGGTCATTTCTGTACCATTGACTTTGCTTACAAGCAGGAACAGCACAACTTCACAATTTTTTATGGATCACATGTGATATTATAGCGTACTTAGCAGCATCCAAGAACGCCGTTCAGAACATTCAGATACTAAATATCTGAATGTTCTAGGACATCTGATCCCAAATTGGAAAACATCCTTTAATTCAGGTGTCGTTATCACACAGTAAACGATTGAATCCATTTCATTTTGTTGTATTTGCTAGAATGTATCCATTTTTGGTCTAAATTTTAATATGGAAAATGAAAATTCAACTACTTTTATGTGCCTTTTCTTCCTCCCAACTCCATATGTGTCAGCTGGGTGTATCTTTAGCCCTAATCTCAAAGATCATAAGAATAATAGGAACCAAGGAAGTTTTTATTTTTATGTTGACACATTGTCATCTACTTAAAACACCAGCTAACATGGTTGTTTGACGGAATATATGGAATTTATCTGAAAGGGAAGATGATCCTCATCTTCGAAACAGTGTGCACCCGTTACAATTGTGGGGTCATTTATTGGCGTAACAGCTAGTAAGTTACATTATTGAGAAGTGCAAAAATCAAAGACCTTACCAACCTTATCTAAAAATTATTGTTGTAAAATGTTATATCATCATGTAGATCATAATAGTTATGAAACATAATATATGTAAGAATAAGATCATCAGAGACTTTTTTTACCGCTGGGGTGAAAAAACCTTCAATGATTCAGTCCTCTTGAAATTCATTTTTATAAGATTATTTTCTTTCAAATTGAATGTATGTTGTCTCATAAATTATTAAAACTCTAGAGTATTCAACAAAACTGTATCAGAGCTGACACTAATTTTCTTGTTCCTGTACGTCTTCTAACAAACTTCACTCTTGTTTCCTGTTGTCTTTGTCTGTTTGTCTTTATGTGTCTCCTTTGTCGACCTTGGTCTCTTGTTGCATCCTTTCTTTGTTTCCTCTCTTCCTTGATCTTTTTCTCCATTTGAATTTTCTTCCTTCCTTTTGGTCCCACTTTGTTGAATATTAATTCTTTTTTGTGCACATTTATGTATTTTTTTCGTTATTCTCCCATTGCTGTCTACACTGGTTGAAAACATTCTTGAATCACTTGGATGTTTTGGTACACACTTTATTTTTACGTTTTTTGGGGTTTCTTCTCTTTATTTGTTCCCTGCATCCCTTCTCATCTTGTTTTTAAAAACATCCCTCTTTGTTTTTGTTCACTTTCTTGTCTGCATTATCACCTTGTCCATCTGTGTCCTTCTTCCTGTATTTTCCTCATTCTCATTCTTGTCCATCCAATATTCTCACTTTATTGGGCAAATCTATTATCTGTAATTTTCCATTTATTGACCATTTTCCAATTAACCTTCTCAATGTCATATCCCATCAACTGTTCCTTGTGCACCCCATTATTTCCCCCTCAAATGCTCTCCATGTTTTGTTTTGTTTTTGTTTGGCCTCCACACATTTTCCCACCCTTCCTCCCCCCTCTGCCCTTTCTCTTTCTCTCTCTTCAGCTGGCAGCCTTACAGCAAAGCTCTTTGCTTCGGAAGGTTAAGCGAACCCTGCCCAGCCCTCCTCCAGACGAGACTGCTACATCAGCTCACTTGACCATGATGACACCTGCCCAACAACAGATCTACCTGTCCTCCGTGCCCAGCCTCAAGCCCAGCTCAAGGTCTGGCCTGGCTGCTAAAGCCAGCCTCCTCAAAGATCTCACCCACGAGCTGAAGGCCGTGGAGCAAGAGTCTACCAAGCTTAGAAAGCAACAAGCTGAACTGGAGGAGGAAGAGAAAGAAATTGACGCTAAGCTGAGGTACCTGGAACTGGGAATTCATCAGAGGAAAGAGACTTTGGTAAAGGAGAGGGAAAGAAGGGACATTGCCTACCTAAGATGTATGGGGGACACCAGAGACTATATGTCTGACAGTGAGTTGAATAACTTGCGTTTAGCAGCTGCTGCTGCATCACATGAGGCAAATGGGCTACTAACAACCAGACCAAGCACTGCTCCACTTAGCCAATTTACCAGTGACCTCAACACAGCAGCCCAGTACCCACCAACCTCATCCTTCCTCTCTTGTCAATATCCCCAGAGCCAACCACCAGCACCATCTCAGCAATCAAGTGTGCCATACCAGTCATCCACATTCAACCAGCCTCCTTACCCAACAGTGTCGCAGTCACAGGCCCTGCCACAGCCCATGACCCTTCAGAGTCATCCCCCTCCTCCTGGACCTACCTTTCAACCTCAAACATCCTATCCTTCCCACACCTATCCACAAGCTCAGCCCCCATATCCCCAAACTGATGCGGGGTTACCATCTGCACCTCAGCCTCCAGCAGGGCCTACAGGTTTTGGACCTGCACCGCCTGGTCAGCCACCATACCCCACCCACAGCTCACCTTATCCCAGCGCTGTGTCCCTCTACCCCACCCAGACGACTCCATATCCTGGGCAGCCCCAAGCTGATATTCTTACCGTTCACCATGGAAGACCCAGACAGACATCACTTGCTGAACTTGAACATAAGATGCCAACCAACTATGAGACTATCAGCAACCCGACAGTTGTGGTCACGACCACAGCCCAAGATGCTACCTTTTCCAGTGCAGCCCCAGCCTATGGTCCGTACACGGGAACAACAACAATGGCAAGCTCCTATGGGCCGTATGGATCTGCACCTGTTTCCAGCAGTTATGGTGGTTACGCCACAGTGCCTCCAAGCACTTATGGTCCATATACATCAACCCCAGCTAGCTCATATGGCCAGTACACAACAACTACTGCTAATACATATGGCTACACCACCACCACAGCCAGTTCTTATGGACAGTACACTTCAACAGTTTCCAATGCCTATGGGCACCCTGTAGACAGTCCTTCCACCTACAGCACAGCCGAAGGAATGTATGGGGCTCCTGGTTTAGAGCAAAACATTCCAAGGAACTACATGATGATCGATGATGTGAGCGAGCTGACGGCAAAGGACGGGCTGGGCACGACAGCAGGGGACATGATGCATCATGGCAGTAGCGGGCGTTACCCTGGCGACATCCATGGCCATGGCAGCACATCTGGCAGCACGGCGCGTGGGGGAACTGGCAGCTCCCCCTACGGCAGGGCACCTGAGGAGGAAGCAGCGATGCAGGATGAGCTGTACGACCACCACGGCAGGGGTAAGAGCAGCTACAGGCACGGACCTCTAGGGGGCAGCAGCAGCAGCGTGAGCACTAGCATGGGTGGGGGATCCCCCTATTTCTATGACTACGACTACAAACTTGCCAGCATCCGCTCCGGGGTACAGAAACCTTTGGCGTCCTCCAGAAGCCTTCTGGCCCCCGCTGTCATGTCCTCCAAGCGCAGCAAGCACAGGAAGCTGGGGACTATGGAGCAGAAAATTTCAAAGTTTTCCCCAATAGAGGAGGCTCGAGATGTCGAGGCAGATTTGGCCTCCTATTCTGCAGGTGAGGCTTACCCCTCATCTAACATTCGAGGGCGCCAGCTGATCGAGGATTATGGCTTCAAGAGGAGTGCTTTTGATGGCACCAGTGGCACAACTCATGGAAGTCGACACTACGGTATGATGGTGGATGAGGACGATCGGATTTACTACACCTCAACTGGCCGCTCCCGCTCCCATGGCTACGGCATGGACAAGATCTCAGCCAGAGATTACCATGGCTATCGAAGCAGATCCTATGAGAGAGACGACCGCTCCTACCGTTCTGGCTACAGAGGACGCCACCCAACTCGGCAATACTCTGAGGAGGAGAGCCCACTCAGCCCTTTGGGGAAATTCATGGGTTCTGGGAGATCTTCAAGCTTAGGTCGTGACCCATATGACAGTCGCAGCAGTAAATATTATTACTATTATGGCAATTATGGTTCCAGTCACTCGCTGCCAGATGTTCAAGACCATATACGGGACCTTCCCCGGACACATGTCTACAAATCGGATGATACATACATTATTGATGATTATCATTGTGCTGTGTCAGACAGTGAAGGTAATTGTGGGAGCTAAATTCCCACAGTCTCACTACCTACTACTGCTCCCACCGTTTATCTAAACGTCCCCCACCCACCCAGAAGCTAGCTTAGCAAAATAACAAAAAAACAAAGGACAGAGATAGTCGTTGCATGTCAGTGTTTTCTTCATCCTGAGAGTTACTTGGAGCTCTATAAGTCGTGGACTGCTGTCTGTCTGTCTGCCTGCCTGTCCGTCCTTCCGCCTGTCCGTCCAGCCGTTTCTTTGTTCGACAGTCGCATGGTTCTTCAGCGTGATCGTCTTTGTCTTCACAACACTGACTGACTTAAGAGGTCTTTGCACGACAGCAATAGGTTTTTTCTTCAACATGTTATTGGCTCTGTTGCACTGTTAATGTGTTTTGATATAAAAAATTTATGTCAACACTGCAAAATCTTGTCCAGACAAAGTTTTCTATATTCCATTTGCCAAATGAAGCTTTGTTAAAAAGTCTTCCATAAAAAAACAGAACAATACTGACTGTTTGAGGTGAAGAGTTTTAACTGATTAGGAAGTTTCCTCGCGCAGTCAGTGAGTAAAGATAGTAGCAAAAAGATCTGCTGTATTAGACAGTTTTGCAGTGTTTAATATGTCCTGTTTAACTTGTCTTGTACTTGTGGAGTAAATCTGTGCATGAGTGTAAAATTTTACTTTTTGCCTTTCTTTCTGTGTCTTCCCCTACCTATCTTTTTTTTTTTTTTTCATGCGGTTGGACTTCCTTCTGCCCTCTTCCTTCTTACAGCCTGCATGCCGCTCTCTCCAAACGACATGGAGATTGACTGTGATCTGCTCTCGGTTTCCAAAGCCTACCATCTGGGCCAGGAAGAAACTGACTGGTTTGAGAAACCACGCTCCAGTTCTCGACACTACGGCAGCAGCCACTCTGGAAGAAGTCGGCATGGTGTCAAGCACACCTATCATGATTATGATGAACCTCCTGAGGAGGACCTGTGGCCGCAAGATGAGTACAGCCATGGCGGGCGGCATTCATCATCACGTGACCACAGGCACCATGGCACCTCTAGCCGGCACTCTTCCTCCCGTCACTCAGATGAGCCGAGATCCTCGAGGTCATCTAAGGGGCATCCCAAAGACCCGTCTATGCGCCATGACCCCTCAGGACGTTCTTCATCTTCAGGAAGGCGTGGTGAGTCCAGGTCTGGAGGGTATCACTCTTCCGACTACTCCAGGGATCCGTCTGGACATCATCACGGCCAAAGGTCTTCCAGGCAGGGAGATCCACACAGATCCTCACGCAGCAAGTCCCAGGGCCAAATGGACATGCAGGGCCAACCACCAGGTAAACAGGGTGCACCTGCAAATCTGATAGATAGAATACAAAAATAGTTTGAAAAAAAAGGAAATTGAAGTAAAGTTTTTTCCAGGTTGTTTGCTGTCTTCCAAAGCCAAAGGCTTGATAAGACTTTGGCTTGATAAGCAAAGGAAACAAATTACATCAGTAAAAAACCTTTAAGAATATTTTTTGTTGACCATCCTGGTTAGATCAATAAGATTGGGGGGAAAGGGAGAAAATTTGCAACTTCATTAATAAATCCTGATTCGATCTCTAAACATTGATAGGATCCCCTTTTAAAAATCCTGTCTGAGGCAATAACATTTAATAGCCTTTGCTGTTGAGATTAATTTTGATGCTTTTTTTTTTTCTTTACAGTCAACAATCCCCTCAGGGATCAACAATTTTTAATTAACAACATCGAGTGTAACTTTTCAAAGGATACGTTTTCCCTGAAGGCATCATTGCGGACGTGTTCATAGCGGTGTAGTAATTAAATCACCAGTTTGATCTTTGCATACAACTCTTGTTGTTCATTGTTGTCTCACTCCTTCTGTTTCTGCTAAAATGCTTCATTTCAAGAAAAAATATTAGCGAAAGAAACCCTGCACTTTTCTATGGACTTTATTTCAAAAAGGGACAGATGATCCCATACCGTTTTTTTTATTGTTATTTTTATTTCTGACTTTATGAAATAAAGTCAGAAATAAAATCAAATTGTAATAAATTGTAATTCATCTTATTACAATCAAATTGTAATAAGACGAATCAGTTTTTGAGTTGCTTTGGTTTAAAATAAAGCACTTTTTTTATCCTCAAATAGGCTCCTCCAGGTCCGGCAGCAGTACTGGGCGAGCTCAGGGCTCTGCTGGTGGGCCTCCAGGATCCGGGCGACTAGGCGGTCCGGGTTCTCAGATGGATGGGACCCAAGGACAGAGGACTCAGCTCCAGCAGCAGGCCCAGACAGCTGCATCCAGACCAGGACAGCCTGGCACAACAGCGACCACAGGCCTTCAGCAGCAGCCACCAGCCCAAGGTCAAGGCATGGGCATGGGGATGGGCATGGGCATGGGCATGGGTCAGGCCCAGGCCCAGGCCAAACCAGGGCAATTGGGACCAGCAGGCGGGCCGATGGGCCAGGCTCGACCAACTGGTGCAGCAGGAACCACACCGCCCACCATGGTGAGTAATGGGAACAAAACCCGAGGAGTCACAAACAGCTCACATCTGCACCCCATTTTATGTCTGATTTCCTGTAAACAGTTCCAATTTCAGTTTTCTAGCAAACAAGAAAATACAAGAACAGAACTGAATTCAACTTAGGATTGTGCTGTCAGGACAAAATGATCATGGAGTGGATATCCTAAGCTGGTTTTAGCATCTAAGCATTATTAAAACACAATGCCCTGACTTCTTGTGTATATATCCTAGAGAGTGTGGACACTTTCCTTAGGTTTCCAGTAAGCTTTCAGTATTTCAAAATCCTGCATGACCCATTGAGGTTGAAAGTATAAAACAAACTTCTCTTACTCTTTCAGCCTTCCTGTTCTTAGCTGAAAGTCTCATTCTCTCACGCAGAATGAATGAGCCAGTCGACATGCAATAAACAGTTTCTCTAAGATTGCTACAGCTACACTCTTGCCATATTTTCATTTTAAACACATCACTGATAGTAAAAAGTATTAACTTCTTCACTCAGTCATAGCTTCAATATCGCAGTTTGTTGGTGTCAGTGCAATCTTGTAAAACTTATAAATACAATCACTGGATGGAAAAGAAGTTGATTTTTCTGTTTTTGGTTTCTAATTTCTGATTTTTGTTTAGTTCGTATTGCATTTTTTCCTGAGATAACAAAAGGAATTTTCTTCATCAGATCTCCTTCTTGGAAACCAAGCTGTTTTGCTTAAAGTTTCACTCCTGCTCCTTTAGTCTGCTTTTACGATCATCTCTCCTGTTTTGTTGTCCCCCTATTTCTCCCTGCGTCGCTTTTGATAAGAGTTTCCTGACAACCACCCTGTCCCATTTCAGATAGTTTATTGAAATTCTTATGTGCCTCTGCTGGCAGACCTTATCTAACACCGTGATTAACACAGAGAAAGCTGATAACCCAATGCAGCTGATTCACTGTCTGCTAGACACCCAAGAAATTGGCACTTAAGATTTCTCCCTGCAAAAATCCATTCCTGCATTTACTCCATCAATCCATTCGAAGCTATTTTTCAGAAGGAGTGTGAGACTGTGATTATTACACTGTAAATAACATCCAGAACAGGCTGATTATTTTGGTTTTAGTACATCTGAATGCTGTCTATATTCACAGGATGCCGTCCAAAATTACCCAAGATGTTCTCATTTACTGCATCTTTGCAGTTTTTTTCTCTCCTGCTTTATTAATTAAATTAGATGCTAATGTGGGGGGCAAATAATGCCTGAAATCTGTAGGTTAATGTTTACTAACTACTTAACTGACTGATATGTCAATATTTTTGATAGAAAGCAGTCATGTTGGAATTTCACATCAGACTTGATGTGAAAGTTTCTTGTGGAAAGTTCAACTTCCAAGTTCAGATGAAACGCACTATTAATTAGCACTATGGTTTGATGAGGCATAATTTATCATTACCAAAATCTAGCCCCTCATTCTAAACTTTGTATAAGCGGCCTAGACCCTCATCCGTGAAGAAATTATTGCTTGCAAGACTGACATTTTAAAGGAATGGATCTGATTTTACTCAATATTTTTGCCGTGACGTGTGTAATGTGCCAGCTTGATGGTGAGGGAAGCTGTGCCGTAAAACTTACCAGAAATGATGTGCACTGTAAACAACTATACCGCATTGCAAAGAGAGAAGTGCCGAGTCAAATTACATCTTTGCCACCATTAAAATATAATAAACATTCCCCTTGCGCTAACTTTATTTGCTCAATATTTGGAAGCATGTCCAAACGCGTGGCTCCATTCACTTCCCTCGCTGCCATTGCCTCGCTACGGGCAATCCTAAAACAACGCAGAAAACCGACGACACCGTTCACAACTCCTCCTTCTGTCCGCTGATTGACCCAGTTGAAATTCAGCTGGAGAAATTGACCTCAATGGGAGAAATCTCACGCACAGCACTGAAGGGAGATGAGAATCGAGTGGAATTTGGTTGAAAAGAAACAAACCAGCCTGTAGTTGTGTTGCTAGCAGGGTGAGGAACATTAACAGAAAAGCAGTTCAATCTGGAAAGACTCAAACGGAGAAAAAGGAACAATTAAAAGATTTAATGACAGGAATGAATAACAGTTATCGGGATGTTCATCGAGTTCACATCAAATCTCAGCTCAAATCAGCTACCGGGGCCCAAGCGCCAAAGAACTGATTAGGGATGCTCTCCCCCAGGGCCCGACACTGGTGGTGGAGGTCAGGAAAGGGTGCTATCCTGGAGAGCCGAAGAATGTGGGTGGAGATGGGGCGGTGGTGGGTTGAACGCAGCTGGGCAGCAGCTGACTGCTTGGGTGTTTATCCTTTTATGCAGAGCTTGATTGAGAATTGGACGCACCGGGTGAGGACCAGCGCTGAGGTCGGAGATGAGCATGATGCCTATGGCGAGCGGAGGGGGCGGAGTCTTCCAGCTTGAACTTTCGCTATTAGCTCCATATGATAGATTGTTTGATTTTTTTTTCATACTAAACATTTTTGCTTTGAAGCCTTTCTCTGGTAAAAGATGGACGTTAAAATGCCTTCCTTCTGGCTATTGTAACTGATCACATATCATTTTATATCTTTCAAGAACTGACAAGTCCCATTTAGAATTTTGTTTGTCATTGTATAGTCAGTATAGTTGATACCCAAATAAACCTTACCTTACAGATCAGACCTTATTTAGCAGAAATGACAGTTTCCAGGTGTGAAACTCCCCAGTTAGTCATTCAGGTCTCAGTAAGCTGTCACTGCTTAATAAATGAGTGGTTTAATTCTGCCATCACTGTTTCCTAATATGTGCATTTTTTTTTTTACTATTCTTGGCTGTCTCACTGTATCAAAATCTGACTACTGTCTTATTCGGCTTTTGTTTGAGTGAACAGATGAATGCTGGATCCTTTTGATTCCGGTTTGTCACCCACATTCAGATTACATAACATGTTTTTCTCTCCCACAGCCTTCTATAACAACAGATTTACTGCTAAATTTACCTAGACACAGCAACACTTGTCTTTTTTTTTTTTTTCTATGCAGACAAAGATCGACACGCCTCCTGTAACGGCGATTGGGGCGAAAGCGGCACCCGTCATGGCCTCGAAGGCAGGCCAGCCCCCGCTTACAGGAATAGGTGATGCTCAATCACAACACCCATATGCACGTAAAATCCCATCACTCACCTGTTGTCCACTATGTCTTACTTATGTGATTATTGTTTGATGTTCATCCTAATCTGAGGTAAATCTGAGGATTATCCCTCAGTATGAAAGCCTGAGAGTGTTAGGTCTCAATTAGCTACTGATTGATGAAGGTTTTGAGATATTTTTATATAACTGCAAAATGACTGAGCTGAATGCCTTTCATTCATCAATCTCACAACGCCGCCTGTAATGTGCAATATAATCTTAATGCGTAATGTATGTCAAATCTATATCAGTATAAAAGCTCAACTGTAGTATTGGCTCAAAGATAAGCAGGACAGTCCCTGAGAAAATTACTTCAAACTCATTAACATCTCATTCCTTTCATTTCCTTTCTGTTTCACATGCAGCAAATGTAGTGCACCACTTTGAGCAGCACTTACTTCTTCCTACCTGGACTACGTTTATTTCTCTGCCCTCTCTCCTCTGTCTTTCTACTGTTTAGGCTCCAAGGCAGCTCCGAGACCCGGCGGCATCGGCAGTGCAGCGGCAGGTCAGCCTGGCATGGAGGGAGAAGGAATGTTTTCCAAGATTCTTCCCGGCGGCGCTGCTGAGCAGGCCGGCAAACTGGGAGAAGGTACGGCAGACTGCTGAAAACGCGTCGCAAACATGGGGGCTTATTGAGTTGTTATTGCCGAAATGAGAGTCTTTTAAGATATACAAAGTTACCTGGATGAACAGAGCCTCAGAGGCTTTCAAATTTCTTTGCCTGATTTTTATTTATTTTTTTCTTATCAAAGCGATTCAAAAGTGAGGAAACTTCATTTTGTTAAGCTACATCTCTAAAGAGCTTAATTTTACAACAGCTTCATCACTGTGACAGGGAAAACCAGTCTGTCACAAAAAAAACAAAAAACAAAAACCTGCTGTCACAATGTGGGCGCAAATATAAAGAAATAAAACACATTTTATGAAACATTACCACCTTTCAAATGTGCAATGCTGTTAATGAGATGAAGGGTGTACAATGGAAGTCCTGCTGTTGCTTCTGGACACTGAACAGTACGTTTTTCTACAATGTTACATTCTTTTATAATTTATTTATTGACTATTCCCCCGTGAGGAGGATGACAGTATGATGCTCTATACGAGTCTGTGAGTGGCACCAAGTGGTCAGTTAAGCCAAAACAAGCTAATGCTAAAGCATCAGACAAGCCAAAGAGTGACGCTGAACACCTACAGCTGCTCATCTTCAGACTTCACCGACAGTGATCTGACAGAGCTTTAGCAGCAGCTCCTCAAGTGGTATTGGTGACCGTTTAAATTCAAAAGTGTTGACGTTGCTCTGTAGTTTTTCTGTTTAATGTTTGAAAAGTCAGTTTTAACTCATTTGTCAACCCCTTTTTTTTGTTTGCTCTTCCTGCAGCTATCTCTGGCTTTGGCAAGAAATTCACCTCCTTATTCTGAGGTGACACAAGTCAGGTATGTATGTTTATTCACATGGGAAATAAGTCATATAAAATGGAATATTTAATGTAATATTGTTTGTTGTTTGTGTTCTACGGTGACTTTATTTTACAAGTCCTGTTTTGGAGGCCCTCCGACTTGTACACAAGGCAAAAATGAGGCGTTTTGAGTGACTCCTGAAAGAAGCGCCATGAAAAGGTTTCTTTAGAGTGCATCGGGTTTAGGAATAACTTTCATGAACGTTTGGTGGATTACTGCAGTGTGTTGACTCTTGCTGGCTGTGAAGAGGCAGGGGGATGAAAGCGGTTTACCCAGTCTGCTCTGGGTTTGGTCCTCGTCTGTTAGTTTTTCTTCCTCACTGTTACTTTCGGTCTTGACTGCTCTGCATGTGCAGGGTGACAGATTTAGCACTGACGGTAAGAACTTGTTTCCGACATGAAATGCCGAACGGACTGTGCGCCATCGCAGCAGGTTATGGGCTTTGATGACGAGGGTTGTGAACTTTAGGAATTGCATTCGAGGCTTGAGGCTTGGAAAGAATTACAGGTTCTAAACGTTTAAGCATCAAGTTCCAGTACAATAAATGTACGCGTCACAACTGCAGGCCCGCTTCTCACTGCTAGGCTCGAATAACTGACAGCTTTTTTTTTTTTTAAATCTGCACTGGCATATCTTTATACACTACTGAACTATTTTATATTAATGTAACAGAAGCCTTAATTGATGCATGTTAATGGGTTTGCAATGTGAGACTTACATGAACTCCTAAAATATTGTTTTTAAATAATAATGATAATAATGTGTTTGCAGGATTATGAAAAATGTCATAAATGAAGTCATGAGGCCTCATACGAGAAAAACCTGTGAAGTTCCCCCTGCTTTTGTTTCCCCGAAAAAAGAGAAAGGAAAGAGAGAGAGGATGATGACTGAGAGGAGAGCGGAGCGTTCTGGTGAGTACTTTAAAAATACATATATGTATATATATATGGAAACTTTGAAGTTGGGATTTGTTTGGATCTAAAATTTTTTGTTGTTGTTTTTGAATCAACATACTTTATTGTTTATTGTTTGATAATGGTATGCATTCAAATCGATTTTTACATTCGCAACCATAAAAAAAAGAGATAACTTTCGACTGGAGTTCATGTTTTCAAGGACAGTGAAAACAATTTGGATTTTACTAGGTTCTGAAAGCATTGAGATGTAATGACAAATTTACAAAAATATCAAACGTCATTTGTAGAAACAAATAAACTCTGTAGAGGTTTTCCAACCCTTACACAATCCCATTGAGCAAAGACCTCAGAAAACCAGATGTTGCGTTCAATCAACGGATGTCCGTTTTTCTCACCGCCGTTTTATGTGGCGACGATAATTTACAAATGTAAAACGTTTAGGCACAGCTGCCAATCTCCTCAGCGACATTCCAGCAAGTTCCTTCAAGATCAAAATGTGTGACTCTCAAAGTAAGCGCAAAACAACTCCAGAGCTTCGACTCTCCTTAGCATGATATGTGTTAAAACTTGTTTGCCTCATTTCATGCTCTTTTGGTTTAAGCTATATACAATATTTTGTTGTCAAAAAAAATCTCTCATCTGCTCAGACATTACATTTGTTCCCATAATCACATCATGCCACCTACGTAATCTGGTTTGTGTTATGATGGTAATCTGTGATTAGTGTTAATATCTTTCTGATCTGTTTGAAGACACAGGTTGACCCGTCATCCAGTAGATTGCTATCAAATTAAAGCCGCATTATGCGAGTGATAACAGCTAATAACAATAATTTGGCCGTCTAACACTGATCGAAAGCGTTCTAATATACTCGAGGGAAAACGCCACACCACATCGAAGCATCGGGAGTCCTGGCGTTCCACAAATAAGACTTAAATCCGTTTGGTGAGCTTAATTAGTTTTCCAAAGATGCTGAATTCCAGAAGCCAAGTTAAACTGGAACTTTCCTTTGTGAGACTCTAATCCTGTTTTGTAATTTAATCCCCAGTTGTGAGTTTGCAGACTTAAACGGGGGCGGGGCGAGACTTTGACTTTGACTAAAATATATCTGCCTCTTTTTGCAGCCAAAACAGACTGGAATCCTCTGGATGCTTCATGTCTCAGATCTGAGCATACAAAGGCAGAGAGAACACTCTGATCTCTCTGACAGCCCAGACAGTAAGTTACTTTTACCTTGGAAACATAAATATCTGACAGGATATTTTAAGCTGCAGAAATCCAAACTTTGTGACCTCGATTTTTTTTTTCTTCCAATTTTATTTCTAGAGATAGCTTAACCTACGAGGCCACCCAGTTCTTTATTTAGTTCGATTTTTATGACATGATTAGGCTACATCAAAGTAGAGATACATTTTACACTTTAGAATATTGTGGAATTTTTTTCTCTCATTTTAGAAAGAGAAAGTCACATTTTTTAGAGTGAAAATTTTTGAGTCTTTATTACTTATAATTGTGATTATAGCTAACAAAAATTTGGTATGTCTGTCATAGAAAACTGATGGTGTCAAACTCCAGTCAACTAATTAACAAGCAAATGTTTCCCGAGGCTCTCAGTCTGGCTCAGTAGGCGAAATGAGGAAATGTGCAAATGTCCAGAAGACACAATATTAAATTTTTCAACGTACCTGAATATTAATATATATATATATATATATATATATATATATATATATATATATATATATATATATATATATATATATAAACAGAAACATGAATGAGTTATGTACCAACACTGGGCTGAAAGACCACTCAGAAAAAAAGAACCATTATTCCAAAAGCCACATAAAAAGAAGAGTGTAGAGTAGAGTGTATGTTTTTTTGCTGCAGGAGGGACTGGTGCAAAACAAAAAAAATCTATCAAGAGGAATGGACACTATGTGGAAATATTGAAGCAACCTCTCAGAACATCAGCATGGAAATTAAAATCAAGAAAATGAATGGGTTTTGCAAAAGGACCATGACAGTTTGACCCAAGTCATTCACTTTTAACGACAACACTGGCAATTTTGGCATTCAGCAAATACAAATAATCCTGATCATTTTAGATGAGCTAACACAGGAATGGTTTCAGCTGATTTAATGCCAGACAGGGAGGAAGGACGGGCAGATGTTGCAAAACACATCCAACAATTGTGTGACTGTATTTTTCATTTATTATTTTTTATTTGTTTTACCTTTTCGACATACTGGTCCCTAAACAGACATCTCTGCAGGTTTCTTTAATCAGACGTGGCAGGATGTTCTGTGTTGCAAACTGTAAGGAAAAGCAGCAGAAATGGCTGCGTTGCTCTGCCTTGATAACAGTGGCTTCTGAAGCCTTTGATGCCGCAGCGGATGAAGGGCAGGCCTTGAAGTTGCCGGTTTATTTCACAGTGTGAATCCAGTGTTGCACTGAGCGTGTATGTTTCTGCTCGGTGCAGCCATGCAGCGCTTAACTGCCTCATGTGGCTGCTGCTGTGGCAGGATCTCTCTCTCTCTCTCTCTCTCTCTTGCTCTCTCTCTCTCTCTTTCTGTCAATCCTCCCACACACTTCTCCAACTTTCAAACATTTTTCTCTTCCTCTCCTCCATTTTTCATATAGACTCTCTCTCTAAGATCTATACTGTAATTTTTTTCTTTTTAGATCTTCTCTTGTTCTGCCTAAATACTGTGGTTATTTTCTTCTCTCTAAAAATGTTGTTGTCTCTACATACTGTCATTTAGTTGTTGTTTTTTTTCCTGGCATCATCTTTGTGTTATTTTTGTTTACAATACAGAGAGATTATGTCTGTACATTAAATCTCCTCCCAGTGTTTTTTGTGGAGGATGTTCCTTACAGAAACAGGCTGTGGGTGTTTGCTCCCATTCAGTCAAAAAAGCATTATGTAGGTTGGCTTCTGATGGCCTGACTCACTGCTCCACTTCAGCCCCTAAAGGCGTTTGAAGAAGCTCTGATCAGAGCCTTCCAGATGTGTTTTCAACAATGAAAACGTTTTCTTTCTTTTCCTTTTTCTTCCTGTCCTCGATCCTGCTCGCTACGCCACCCTTCGAATTCGACTCTGCGCAGCGAGCCAGTTTTGTTTGTGTGTGTGTGTTTTGTTTTTTTTACTCGAACGCGGTTATGTGCATCACTGTCCGTGTTTCAGTGTGCGTTATGCACAAGCCCCCCTGGGGTCCTGTGTTCCGTGCAACAGATTAAGTTTGGTGATAGAACACATGTTTGAAGATGCTAAACCCGGGTCACACGCAGAGTGGGAGGGAAAAACATGAGTTAAGTCATTTTATGGTAAAAAGTCCTGATGGGAATTATTTTATTAAAACTACAAACTTTGACGTCTTCCACTGGGGTTCAATTAAATAGAACAAAAGAAATTAATACAAGGTAAAGTAGTCCGTGTCAGTCTTTCAAAGATCTCTTCCTAGCAAAACTGTCTGATGATAAATGTATTCCTTCAGCAATCTTGTTTCAGTGCCATTGCATCACGGCTTCTGAAGTTTTTTTTTTTTTTTTTTTTTGAAAAGGGTTTAGAATGGAAATGATTGTTTGCTGTTTGACTAAATCCAGGATCAGGTGTCTGGCAACTTGTGTTTTTTTTCTTGTCCTGATTATGTAAAAGGTCATGCATGAAGTTTGCATCCAAACAAATAACCAAAGTCGCAACAGCGTTAGAAACGATTCCATTTTTCCTCCTGATCCAGGACCTGCTTTCATAGTCTTCGATTATGCCACCAAAAGTTCGAATGATGCTGGAAAATGTTCAATTTTACAGTTCATAAATCGAGACGATGCTCGGAGCCTCGGGTTTTACATCATGAACCGGCGCAGGGTTCGCAACGCTGAGGTTCATCATATTATCGCAAATATCTAAGGCGTTAAGTAATGGCTCTGTGCGGTTTGTTTTTCCTTGATGGCTGACAGGCAACCATGAAGTCCCAGAGAATACAAGTGACGTTTCTCTAGTGTCGTCTGAAGCGGCACCACAACATGCGTCCTTCACATTATGTCCCCATAGGAGCCACTTCAGCAAGCTGACACGCTGAGCTCCTGTGGCCTCGTCTCTTTGCTCACCACAGCCGCTTTCTGTATGTTTTAACACGAACGTTATGTAACGCTCATGTACAGAATGCGAAGTTATTTATTCCACGTTGCCACGGCACTTTTTTTTTTTGACTGCAATTACATTTTTTTTTTATTCCAAAGAAACATCAGTTTGAATGGAAGGTATTACAGATGAAAGACTCTGATGAAACATAAATGAAGGCGGGTAGTTATGTGCTTTGTTTACGCACGTAACGGGGATGATTTTATCCAACAAATCATCAGAGCTGCATCTTCCAAAGACAAGAAAATCCATGATTAACTCAGATGGGAGAGAGAGAGAGAAAAAAAAGCAGATGTGAAAAATTGGGCTAACTCTAAAACAAATCAGAAGAAATTCACCTTAAATTATATTCACAAAACATGATATGTTGCAACCCAAATCAAACCCGATTTAACAACTTTGTCAAATACAGTTTTAAATAGTCTTAAGAAACAGGAAGATAACTCTTCAGCAGTAAACCTTTAAAGAACATCCTGCTGAAATTGCAGCACGTAAGGATGGATGAATCTTGATGGATTCTACTGAAGCCATCTGCATCCATCTGCTTTACTATTTTTTTTGAAGATATAAAGAAAGAACAATTTGAAAGATTTCAATATCTCACTCAAAATATCAATGGCAGAGTTTTCATTAATAGCTATATGTCTCTGTATAAAATATGCAGTGCAGTTATGGACGCGGACACCATCTGGTGGACAATTTTGTGTACTACAACTCGTGTTTGTGACCAAATGTGATGTGCATTCCTAATGGGAAGAAGGGATTTCTTTCCTAGTCTGGCTACATATGGAGAAGGAAAAAATAAAACTGAGCATCGGAAACGTTTCCAAAACATACAAATGTAACTTTCCAACAGCAACTTTCTCAAGATGTCTCCCTTTTGCCCCGTCTGCTACATCAAGCTTAGTAATCAGCTTAATAATTAAAGCAAATATCTCTGAATATTTGTACACAGATGTTTAAAACCAGGGAAAATATCTTAAAATTTAATGTGGAATGGGAAAGAAATGGAAAACGAGTTTGGACTCTGACAGAGAATTCTGCTGGTGTGCAAATGTGTTTGGGCACAAAAATGAGAATCGTGTTTGATTTTCGTTGTTTAATTGATCTGATGCACCAGTATCACAGTTTTTTTTTTAGTATTATATTTTTATTTTAAAAGAGAGAATATGAATTTGCTGAGGGGAGCACAGACTCTGAGCAACTCACATTACAAAAATCTTGTTTGTTGAAGCCAAAAATGTCAACATTTACAGATCACGCATGGGCCATGACAGAAGAATTTCTTCTTAAAGTGTGGCTCTCGCTCGCTTTCTTGCAGCCTGAATGAAACATGTAGTTTATTTTAAACACCTCAATAATGCTGAAAATGGATAACCGTTTAACTTCTTCGCTCATTAACAATTTCCACACTGGGTGATGTTATATGACCTGATAGTGCTTGTGTAGAGTTTTCTCCGAATGAAAAAAATAAATAAATAAATTTTTGAGTTTACAACCGACCGATCACCAGTCAAGAATATTTAGGAAAAAAGTTGTCTGATTCCACACGAGTTGATTTTTTTTTTCATAGCACATTTCAATTTAGACTCAGTGTATCTTCAGCTCTATTTAGATATCTGTTTCTGACAAGCACAATAATGTTTATTCATTTACTCATGAATAAACATTATGAGTAAACAGATTATTCGTAGAGGACCTACGAGATTCAATCATTAAAATGTTTTTAGTCAGTTTGAGTTTTTTTTGTTTGTTTTTTTTTACTAAATTCTCCTTGCTCTCCTTTAGGTCATTCCAAGCCCGAGCCAACATCCATCTTCAGAGGGATTCCCATTGTTATGCAGCTTCTCTCAGAAAACCTGCAGCAGCTACAAACATCTACACCCCTACATGAAAACAGAGCAGCTGCTGGCTGAAGGTGACAGCAGAAGAAACAGCTGTACGACCGTGATCACCCTCCCTGCCAGCAGGGGGAGCCGTGTTCAACGTAACAGCCCGACAGTTACGTTGACGTGGTGCAGACAACGACTGACGGCCGCATTTGTCCACGAGAGCTGCTTTCATCCTAACTTCCTGTAGGAGGTGATAGCTTGGTTTTCCAGTCCTGTGCTCAATCTTGAAGGAATATAAATCACCTCTCCTCTTTTCTGTCTTTTTCCGAAGTAAACAATGAGCAAAAAAAAAAAAAAAAAAGGGGAAAACTCACCGAGGCGTCACAGGTTTTTCTTGTACGAAAGTCGTCTCGTTTTACCACCAAATACTGACGAGGAAATCATCGAAACGTCACTATGAATGAAACAGACGACGAAGAAGCGGCGGTCGACACAGCCCAAGCATGTCGCCACGCGTTTATTTTTTATTTTTTTCACCCTCTATCGACATTCCAGATGGGGAACTGTCTTCTTCTTCTTCTTCTTCTTCTTCTTCTTCTTCTTCTTCTTCTTCTTCTTCACTTCTCTTGCGTTTCTTGAATGCTAGCTCTTCTTTCTTTCCACACCCCACTGCAACGATTCACAACTTGCCATGTCTTTAAACAAGGGTAGTGTGGATTTCAACTAACAGGAAACATGGGGATGCATGGAACTTTATAACCAAGACCTTACACTGTTTCATCGTTATGTAACTGAGGCCATAAAGACATCTGAGCTTAAAGGCGTAAATAATAGCAAAGAAAGGTTAATTAAGCAACACACAAGGATCTGGCCATGGGAATAAGAAGAGCTTTTAGTTTATTTTCCTTTTTTTTCTTATTAGTTTTTATTTTATGTTGTTTTTCTAAAGAAAGCTGTATGACTAAGTGAGGCAAATGAAGCAGTGGGGTTACTTTCTAGCCAATTTAAAGCCATTAAGACAATATTTACTATCAGTTTATGTGGCAAATCTCCAAAATTCTCCACAATTTTGGCTTTTAGTTAATATGCCTTTGTGTGTTTTTTTTTCTTCTTCTGTGTCAATTGCCTGTTTTTTTTTTTATGTTGCAGTTTACCAATATCGCCTTAATTATTTCAAATGTTTCATTTTAAACCAGAAGTGGTGTATTTTTATGTCGTTAGGTAAGCTGGAACCACAGCCACAGAGAGGTTAATTTCTATTTTTTTACCTTAACATTGTTTTTTTTGTTTTTTTTATATATATATTTTCTTGTGATATGATTTTATTTATTTTCTAGCGTTTTGTTACATTGAACTAGGCTCCCCTCCCCTTGACAATTTTCAGACTCTTTGTTCCTATCAATAATTATGAAAGCAATAGAGTAAGAGGTAAGAAAGTAAATAGCACAATTTTGTGTCATTTTGCAAAAATGTGTTGCCTTCGTTTGTCTGGTTTACCGCCGAAGCTCTGCTTTAGTGTGACTCAAACACACCACTTGTTGTACTGCTGCTGTATGAACTGAACAGAGACGCAGGAGTCCTGCGACGCCCGGACTGGCGGATCGGTACCGACGTGCTGCTTTCTTCAGCTGGAGTCTGACCTGAGAGCACTGCAGGGCAGCAGAGAGGCGCAGGAAAGCAGCAGAACTGGACGATTCATCACTCTTCAGTGAGGGAAGCAGGAGGGAGTGTTTGTTTTTTCTTTTATTGGGATTCTTCTGATTCTCCGAGATGGACTCCTTATACAGCTGTGTCCGCATGTGTCTTCACTCTGTCAAATGTGAACCTGAAAGCACACTTGGAGTGGTGTCAGTGATCTTACTAAAAATAACCTGCTGTCATTATGTGACTGAGGAACCAAAAATAACACACTCGGTTGTGTCACCAAGTCCCTCGCCTTTTTTTTTTTTTTTTTTTAAGAAAATAAAAACAAAAAACGGCCTATTTTCTATCGCGGTGGAGTTCAGACGTCTGACCCAGCACCCCTTCTCCAAAACAACAGAAACAAATCTTTTCTCTAAGACTGTCAGTCACCTTGGAAATATTCTCAGGTCAGTATTCGCTCTGCTGTTGCTCCTGCAGTGCATTGTGGGGAATCCGCGGTCCGGCCCTCATGACACGACCCCATCAGGGTGAGGCCTCCTTCTCCTCCTCCTCCTCCTTCTCCAAATCAATCAACTTCTGCTGTATATTGTCTTTGTGAACGCTCGCTGGGAACCTTCGCATGCTGCCCGGCGCAGAGGAAAACCTCAGTCACCTCTATATTGTTCTGTTCCTGATGTTTGTACGTATGCGTGTATGTATGTGCGTGTTCGGGGTTCAGTATGCGAGTATTTTAAAAAAAAATAAAAAATCATCTAATGTGGGGGAAGAAAACAAAACGGACACGAGTTCAACCACGACGAGCATCGCAGGCAAAGGAGGAAAAGTCGTTCTATGCAATGAATCCTGTTTGAGAAAAACCTGAGGAGGTGAAGGCATGTGAAGAACAACGTAGAAGGAAGTCACAGTCATTGTTGATCACTCCTCAGTTAGAAACCATGTCTGCTTTGTTTCGTTTTCGTGAAATTTTGTAAAAAAGAAAACACGTCCATTCTCCTTTGATATGGGGAGCTAAAGACATGTTCACAACAACTGGGAAGTTTCACTTGTAACATGGCCAGGAAGCCTTTTGGGCAGCAGTGGAATTGGTAAAAGTATTTAAGCAGTCATTGATCTGAAACACTGTCTAGTAAACAACAGCTCTATAACATATATATGGAGAGTGAAATATCCAAGTTGTCATGAATACGTCTTTCCCAGTTAATAACTTTGTTGATTAGTTTAGGGGAGCTGAACTGGGTTCACAGAAACACTTTCTAAAGATTTGTATACTTAACTATATATTATAGGTGTTGGGCTGCTCAGGGCTTCTCTCCTTTTTGATGGCCAGAAACAGAATTTGCTATAATAATGCCATTGTGCAGACAATGTTTCTCCAGAGAACGTCTTATGCTGATCTCAAAAGAAAAATCAAATTTAGGCGTTTAAAAAACACACAAATAAATATAAATCTATAGATTAGTTTTAAATTAAATACTGTAAACTGCTACTGAAGCATAAGATGTATCTTTCTATGGTGCTGTAAAGCATTCCTGGTGTGATTATTTTTGGGTAATAGTGAGTTTGGAGGCAGGTGTCATAGTGGAATGTACACTGGAAAGTAAATGTAGAGAGCAAAAATCATTTGCCAGTTTACATAAATGTGTTAACTTTTTGGTAGCAGCACACTAAGGGAATGTGGCTAAAAATAAAGGTAATCAAATACAAAGAAAACATAATTTTTTATGTCATTTAAGAGGATGTCATGCTCCAAAAAATTGGATCACAATAGAGGCATTTAAAATCGTCAAATTGAAGTCTGTGACTAAATTCCCAATAATACCTGATGGTGTTTCTTGTGTTTGCAATTTTCATGCTAGCCACACACCCACTCTTTGTGCACAATTTGAACATAACATTTAATCAAGAATTACAATTTTAGGCAGGCATAGTTCCAAATATTTTTTTGACTTAACAAATGTTAAAGTTTTCCATCCTTAAGAAGTACATTTACACCACAGTAAAAGAAAAAAAAAAAGTCCCTATTGAGTGCAGCAGCTAGATGTGTGTTATGTGACGGGAGAGCTGTGTAGCTGAAACACCACAGATTAAATTTTAAGATATTCAAAGCTAATTTAATTAAGGGGTAGTATATATTTCTCTGTAAGCCTTATTCACATTAACTCCAATCACTTTGGAATACTTTGCTAGCCAAACTATCAACATGTCGCATGCTAGCTAGCGTTAGCCTCGTACTTCACCAAACTACTCCCTATAAAAACATCAGCAGGAACAACTCGAGAGTTTACTGAAGCTGTATGTGTTGAGTCAGATATAACTTTATAAACAAATTGCAAAGCTATGTGCATTTTAGGTGCGTTATCAGGAGATTATGATCGCTTTTCTGACCTAGCTAACCCTCTGGTGGAGCAGCATATTGATTCTGACCTGAGGAAACCCCCATTGGGACAAATAAGCAAGAAAAACCTAAGTATCCAGAATGTCTTTGGTTAGATTATGTAATATGTGTTTCTTTTAGTGCATATATATATATATATATATATATATACACACACACACACATAGACACACATTCCATAGATTTTAATAAAATAGTGTATAGGGAACAAAAGCCCCTGACTGAGACCTCAATTACAAAAAAAAAAAAACTCTCTCCAAACCTTTTTAGAACTCTTATGCGACTTTCACAAATCACTTGTCCATGTAAAAATAGTCTATATATTTTTTAGAAATATTAAAAATATAATTTATTCTATGTAAGAATTTATTTTATCAAATGGAGAGGAGATATTAAGATAGCTGGAATAAAGGCTAAAACAGATCTAGACACAAAAACACTATATGATGAAAAATATCTTATATAAAGATCGCTCTATTGCTTATGTTATTGCACAACAAATATTATCAGATTGTCAAACCATAAATAGAAATTCTGCCTAAACAGAGTTTATTTTATTTAATAAATGATATAGTTGCTAAGTTATTTTACCTTTGTTCCAAAAACTTAAACAGCAACAGTTCATGCCTTTCCAATAAGTTTGATGCACATGATCCAAACAGAGTTTATTTTATAGATGCACTGCCTCTAGATCAGTGTCTTAAACAAACTCAACAAAAACGCTAAAAGTAGAACAAATGATGCGTACGAAAGTTTAGATTTGCCCAGTTTAACACCAACTTCCTCTACTTTATGTCTTATGTTTTTGGAAGTTTGTAAAAAAAAAAAATCTATATATATATAAAACTTAAAACTAAGTAAAATGATCCTCAATCACTTCTGCCTCAGGAAAGCACACACGCTTAATGCAGCCTTGCAACGGAAGACATTCAGACGACGCTAGAAGACCGTGAGCGTGTTCATGCAGGTGCAGGAAATCAGTGTGTGTGTGTGTGTGTGTGTGTGTGTGTGTGTGTGTGTGTGTGTGTGTGTGAATGACACAGCCACTAGCACACGATTAGTAAGAACTGTGCAGAAATAAGGTTATTCCACTTCTTATTTATATTTGATGTGTTTGCTTTTTTTCCTGTCTTTTCTTTTTGCTCCTGCATGAATACAGCCAATGAAGGTGACTTAAATATGCATAGCAGTAAGGGCTTCTATACTACAATACTGGTCACTGAAGAAAGCCATCCTGTTACTGCCCTCCAGCCAGTCATGGAGTCTCTGTCCTCACACTGCATGGTGTCTTTCTGTATCTAGGAGTGCACTGGACTAATCAGACCACAGTAAACACATCACAGCCTGTTTTTTTTTTTTTTTTCACCAGTGTTTCAACTACAAAAGTCATGAAAAAAAAATTTATTTGCTTTCAAATGTAATACAGTTCTTATTAGTTTGTAATAGAAAACAAATGTACAGACATGAACCTGTAAGAAGTTTGTGTTTTAAAAGAAAGCTTTGAACTTGATTAATCTGACTTCCACTGGAAGACTTTATACTTTTTTTTGTTTTTGCATTAAAATGCACCATCGGTTGCTTTTGGGAAATCCAGGCTGTGGGTGTTTGTTGTAAAACCCAAAAGGTAGCATCTTTGTGCTCGCACTGAACAAAGCTCCAGTGCTCTTTACCATCGGTCAACGTGTGACAGGATGTGATGCAAGATTTTCAAACAAAACAAATGCGTACATAAATATATATATATATATATAACAAGTAAATGTTTCATATAGGCGAGAGGTTATAAGTAAAAAAGAAGCCATGAGGAAAATTGTCCGTTTGTCACCGTCATTTCATCTTTTATCTGTAAAAGTGACAAGTGCATGATCTGGACACCTTCCATGTTTTCCCCTGTGAGCCCAATCACTACCCCAGCCACCTCTCTGACCTTTGACCCCCCCCCACCCCCCCTACCATCCTTATTCCAGTGTAAATACCAGATGTGAACCGACCGGAGTCCACTCCAAACAGACAAACATGTAAATGCCAATGAGGGACACGTCCTGTACAACATGTAAATCTCAAACAAAAGTCACCACACACATACACACACACATGCACAAGAGGCGTGCGAGAGAGAGAGAGGCCTTTGTATTGCAAACAGCGACCCCAGCTGCAGCGTATGTAAGTCAAGAACTCCCTGCCGAAACTTGTGCTTCTTCTTTTCTTTTCTTTTTTTTTTTTTTTTTTGTACGAAAACGACAAAAACAAAACACAAAAAACCTGGAGCCGTAATCAGCTGACAAACTGCATTGTGTTTGTTCGTGGCTGGCTTGTATGGACGGTTTAAAAATCATATTTAAAAGAAAGAAAAAAAAAAGAAATAATTGTATTCGGATATGGAATTAAAAAAAAAAAGATATTGGTCTGTGTAGAGTTTCTATACATGTTGTGTTTGTTAAACGAGATGACATCTGAAACAAAACAAAAAAAAAAAATATATATATATATATACACGAGAAAAATATTTTGACTTCCAAGTTCAGGGTGAATCGTTACGTGATGAAGATTCAGGGAGAAGGCGAACAAAACGATGCTCATCTGGGGGTCGGGGGGAGGGGCTTTAAAAATAACCCAGCTGATTGAAAAAAAGAGTAAAAACAAAAAGAGCCTAAAAACGACAACGTGTTCCATTCACTGTTGTAAGTGCAATGAGCTAAACTTCCTGTTTCCCTGTTGTAAAACCTTGTGTATGTTTCCGTGTATTCCTCTTGTAAATGGGTGTAGTAGACCTGGTGCATCATGCCATGTAATGTGATGAATGACAAATTATGACCTTACAATACATTTCAATCAGGAAAATAAATAAAAGACAGATACATAAAACAAAAAAAAAATTGTACGTTTTTATTTTCATTCTATCCATCCACAGTTTGTTGATTTCTTAAATGAAGCGAAGTCTTGTTTGACTAACTCAGCTATTCTTTTATTGTGCTTTGACCGTTTCCCTTTCTTCAAGTTGATTTAGAGGGAAAAGTGAGAGATCAGGAGGAGAAGAGCAAAAGATTCTTGGATTAAGAGAAAAATTTTGCATCTTTTTTGTAGTTTTTCTTAGTTGCTTTCAGAATTGAATTTCTCAAAACTACTTCATTCAGTGGTTAAATCATTGCGTCGGTTGTGCGCATCAAAAAAAGCAAGCAGTTTCGTGTTCCTATTAGCGGCCTGCAGCGTTTCAGCATTTATGTAAGTTATGTACAGTTCTCTGCTTTTTCCTACATTTCCAATTGCTTATTTTATGTCGATCAAAGCTGATTATTCAACAGCTCTCTGTCGAATAATCTCAACCTCCACAATGTCATCACATAAGTCTTTAAATTCAAAGTGCTTGGGCAGGTGGTCATAATATGCCAGACACATTTCTACGCATTTTCATTTTTCCCCCCCCCAATTCTGTCCTGAATAGGTAAACTGCTCCCAGGTGAATCCAAGATGTATTTGAATGCATCATGTCTGATACTTTATACAAATGGTCATATCGTCACGACCATTTGCATAAATGATATGACCATTTAAGGTAATTACAAATGACTCATATAGAGTACAACACTATACCAATATCATAACTTACACTTCAATTTATGTCAATAAAGTCCGAGTCACAGTCAAAAACTGAAATTAGGATTTTATTAGTAGACATTTCCCCCCCACCCCCATTCATTAACCAACTGAGCTGTCTGCTGCATGGGTAAGACCCTCTTTACATTCCCCCCACCTCAAAATAAAACAGCCGGTACAACGTTCTCACCAAAAAAACAATTGCTTAAATACTAAAAAAATAAATCAATTGCACAAAATAATGTGCCATTTTGCTTGTGATTACATCTGTGCAGCACATGTACACATATATAGACATCGACAAAGAAACCGAGCAGTCAAAACAACATGAGGCGGCTAAACAGAGAGATTCACGAGGCAGCTGGTCGAACCTCAGCGCTCAAACGTCCGACTGTTACATATGTTGGCTGGCAAGTTAAATCATGAGAAGCAAAATTCATATTAAAAAAAAAAAAAAAAAAAAAAAAAAAAAAAAAAAGAAAAAAAAAAAAATTGGTTTTTTTTTTTCTTTTTTTTTTTTTAAAATATTTTTTTTTATATAA